ATAAAAATAGATAACAATACCCAATACCCGATATCAGGCTTCTTCAGAATACTGAAGTTTTCTGTTTCCAAAAGCTTCACTATTCTAAACCTTTAATTGCAGAATTTTTTTCACTTCCAAGTGGTCTTTGTCATTTGCCAGACTGCCATTCTAAAAGGATCTCATATACCTATAAGGAAGAGCTTCCTAGAGAATGAAAACATGGATTACTACCTAAATGGAAGCAGCTTATTTTTGAAAGACACAAGCATATTTGTGTGTGTGCCAGGATTTGTTATTTTTACACGTAGACATCTGGAGATAATAGATTCTCACTGATCTCTTGACCTTAAATTTCAGTATCAATTTTAGGGTCCTGCCCAAAAGCAAGTTTACAGAGAGGTTCAAAATTCAAAATTCAGCTTCAAAGGTTTGGTTGGCCTTCTTTTAAATAGGCTACAAAATCTGCACTAGTCATCTCCATATTTACAACAAATGAAACAGTAATTCAACAAGGCTCTATCCAAGGGATAGCTATACACAGTAAGTTTCTCTGAGAGGTTCAAGACATTTTATCTCTCACTGTCATTATCTAATTGATCCTTGCAATATCTTGGTGATAATATAGCCAAGGAAGCAGGTAAGTAGGCACCCACAATTATTGTTTCCATTTGGTAGATGATAAGTGGTAATAATTATAAAGGGCTTAGCCCAGTGCCTGGCACAAAGTAAGCACTATATAAATGTTAGCTATTATTATCTATATGATTAGATAAGAGTCTATATAACAGAAAGAACTTCTTGTTACAGAACAATTCAGTGGCACTGTTGGGAACTGAACACCCCTCCCCAAGTCAGAGGATCAGATGACAGACAGCACTAAAAAGGACCTTAGGGACCCCTTAGTACAACACCCTGCCTCCCACTGGGGCCAAGAGTTAAGTGACAAACAGTAAGCAGAGAGAGAATTTGAACTCAGCTCTTCTGATTCTGAAGCTGGAGCTCTTTCCATTGAATAACACTTCTTCTCTTAATCCTTTTTAAAAGACCCCATGACTACCATGCAGGGGCTTCTTGTTCAAACTAGCTCAGGTATGCTGCTAGGATCAAGTATGTCTGCTACCACTAAACACTGAAGGACTAGAATGATTTCTTACCATTTTATTCAATTTGTATCATTAATCATGACAACTAAACCAGCCTATATAGCCTGACTATGTCTCCAGATGTGCACAGCTTACAATTCTTATCAGTAGTTGATCCAGAGCTTTATCTCGGATCTTGGTAATACCAGAGTGTAAACATGTAAATTTTGGTGTAAAAATATTTTTTAAATAGTAATAATAAAAACACGGACCTGAATCCTGTTATCTACGAGGTACACTGTCCCCAAGTTGACAAGAAGTATCAAACAGCACTAAATAATAACAATGTGTACCTAGTTCTCCCCTTCATGCTTGGGGACAGGACCTGTATGTTCATTAATATAGGAAATTTCCAATGAGGAAACTGTCCAGCAATGCAGATTGATACCTGCTTTATAATTTAGTCTGAAGAGAATTCCCTGGGGCACCAAGAAATTAAGTTATTTGCCTTGTGACACAAGGCCAGATCAGGGATTTGAACCCAGCCAGCTCTCTATCCACTATACCACACAGCTCCTCAGGAGGGAAATAACTATGGTTTAATCCTCATTATTTCCATTTTACAGAGAAGAAAACCAAGGCTCAGCAAGGTTAAGAGATTTGCCTACAGTCATCCAACTAGTCAAGTGGTAAAGATGGTATGTGAATCCAGAACTCTGCTTCAAGTCAAGCGTTCTTTCAACTATACCATCCCGCCTTGCAAGAAGACTATCATGTGGGGGCGGCTAGGTGGCGCAGTAGATAGAGCTCTGGCCTTGGAGTTAGGAGGACCTGAGTTCAAATTCAGACTCAGACACATGACACTTACTAGCTGTGTGACCCTGGGCAAGTCACTTAGCCCCAACTGCCTCACCAAAAAGAAAAAAAAAAAGACTATCATGTGTCTTAGCCGGGAAGCAAAGAACAGTATCATCTTGATATCAAAATTCAGACCAAAATCAAGGTCAACAGCAGACAATGGTTTGCTTTAACCCAGTAGAAATAAGAGTGGGCTTAAAATTCTAAAGACCTGACCCTACTCCCAAATCTGACACTTACCAGTTGTATGAACATAATTCATTTAAATCTTTCTGAGTCTCAGTTTCCTCATGCGTAAGATGGGGAAAATAACTATCCCACCTACTTCACAAGGTTATTATAAGGAGAGCACTGGGTAGGGCCAATGCAATAAAAATGATAATTTTACCTAAACTTTATACAATCAATGCTATCCCAATTAAATTACCAAAAAATGTATTTTACTGAATTAAAAAAAAAATAAAATTCATTTGGAAGAACAAAAAGTTATGAATATCAAAGTAACTAGTGAAAAAAAAATGTAAAGGAAGCAGCTTTAGTAGTATTAGATCTCAAACTATATTATAAGGCAGTAATTATCAAAAACTATCTGGTTCTGGCTAAGAAATTGAAAGGTAGATCAGTGGAACAGAGCCGACACACAATTTACAGCAGTAAATACTAGTAACCTAGTATTTGACAAGTGTAAAGACTTAAGATGCTACTGACTGCAAGATACAGACCTATGGTCCTATTGCAGGAACCTGGTTGGTGCATCCCTGCCTCAAATCTCTTCTCATTCCAGTCAATCCTTCATTCTGCTAGTATCCTAGGTATGTCCATGTCATCCCTCTATTCAATGAAGTCCAGTGGCAGCCTATTGCCTCCAGGACCAAATATAAAATCCTATCTGGCTTTTAAGGCCCTTCAGAACCTGGCCCCTTCCTACTTTTCTAGTCTTCTTATGCTTTATTCCCCTCCAAAATTCTACCAATCAGTGGCTAACCACTCCCTGCTGATCCTAACACGATAATCATCTCCTGATTCAATAGATTTTCACTGGCTGTCCACCATGGCTGAAACTCTCTCCTTCCTCACTGGCAACTCCTGGTTTCCTTCCAGACTCAGCCAAAATCCCAGCCTTTCCCTGACCCCCTTTAATCCTAGAGCATCCCTACAAGATTTATCTCCAATTTATCCTGTATATATCTTATTTGTACATAGTTGTTTACATGTTGTCTCTATCATTAGAATGTAAACACTCTGAGGCAAGGACTGTGTTTCTGCATTTCTTTGTAACCTCAAGGCTTAGCACACAGCCTGGCACATAGTAGGTGCTTAATGAATGGTTTGACAAGAACAATTCAAAGCTGATGCTTCCTTGTATAATTTTACCAGTGCTACCTACAATTAACATTTAGAGTTAAAAGATAAAACTAAACAATCAATGATGAAGTTTGGGCCTAAGAAAACAAAAAACTCACTGAGAACATAATTTTAGGCATAAGAAACACAGACTTTGGATAGCTAAGCAACTGTGGTAAACTGAACTAATGCAAGGGGACCCCCAAGCAGGCTACAGAAAAGAAACGCTTAGAATACACAACATGATGGCATGTGAAACAATGAGACCTAGCTACGGACTGCTGGGCAGCAGCTGCATGGCAGGCTGACCAACCTGGTACATAGCCATCATCAACTGGGGTTTCTTTCACTTCACGAAACAGAAGCCATGATATAAACAGGACCAGCCTCCACAAATAGCAGCTTTGGCTGACTGATCTGCACAGAGGTGTTACGGGGGAAGGGGCTGCTGCTCAAGGAAAAGTGTTTACACACACAGTTAGTGGCACCATTATAATACCATCACCGAATAGAAAGGGCACCAAAAATAGATATTAAAGCCTAAGCCAAAACATGTCATCACGTCTTTTCCAGTACCTTTTAAAATGTTTTTACTTCTTATGTGAGGCAAACATTCAAAGAAAAACATCTTTTTTTTAAAAGCCTGTTTAGGTAAATGATGACAAATAATTAGTGCATATGCAAAATAATTACAAGTATTTTGGATATAGCAGGGATAGGGACTGGACCTCCAATTTCATTGGTAGAGGGAACTCTGTTGTATAGAAACTCCTTCTACCAACACAGATCAGCACCTTCTCTGAAACTTATAGTTTTAAGAATTCCCAAGAGCACTGAAAGATTAAGTGAGTTATGTCGGTCACTCAGCTGGCATGTATCACAGGTAGACCGCCTTGAACCCAGGTCTTCCAGGCTCTGAGGCCTGTCCTCTAGCTGCTAAACTATGCTGCCTCTCATCTAGTGTTGAGTATACTAAATAAAGCAAGCATATATAAAAACGTTTTTATACATCCCATTCCTCTTGAAAATATTATTTAAGCATCATCTTTAATTAGGCAGAACTATTTATGCTAAATACCACGTGGATTATGTGTTTTTGCCACCTCAAATATGAGCTCTAGGGGAAGGGTCCATATTCTGTACATGTCCTAGTTTTAGAGCATTATGGGCTTTCAAAAAAAAACAGCATTTGGGTATCAGATCAATCCTGTGTCGCTGGCTTTCTGCCTGTTCCACAGATAAGACACTCTCATCTCTTGGCTACAGGCATTTTCTCAAGCTATCTCCCATACCTGGAACATTCTCCCACCTCTGCTCCGACTACTAGCTTCCTTTAATTCCCAACTAAAACCCAACCTTTTACTGGAAGCTTTCCCTAAGCCCTCTTAAATTCTAGTGCTTTCCCTCATTTACTTATTTCCTATGTATCCCGTCTATAACTTGTTTGTACATATCTGTTTGCCTATTGCCTTCCCCATTAGACTGTGAGCTCCTCTGGGCAGGGACCATCTTTCTCCTTTATTTGTATCCCCACCACTTAGCATGTGCCTGGCACATAACAGGTGCTACAGAAATGCTCATTCCCTTCCTCTTGTCCCCCCCTTTATAATGTCCAGTAGACTGCAAGCACCTAAAGGGCAGGTATGGTCTTTTGCTTCTTTTTGTATCCCCAGTGTTTAGCATAGGGCCTGGCACATAGTTGTTGCTACATAAATGACTAAGGGCACTTATTACCTTTGCCGAATGCTCCATGGTGACGACCACTTTGGTTTTTGAGCTGGACACTAAGTCCATAGCACCTCCCATTCCTTTCACCATCTTTCCCTGCAAGCAAGAATCAGAGCATTAGAAGAAGCTACACTTCTCCAACTTAATTACTTGTGTGGGAGAACCAAGTCAAGCAGAAGGAATATACCACTGGAACAAAGTCTAATCAACTGAGCAGAAAAACCCCTCTACCTGCTTGTTTATTAGCACTGTCAAAACTCCTCTGCAGGGAAACTTAGAACCCTGGTATTCTATTATCTCAGAGTTGAAAGATAAAGTAGAGGACAATATGTGAAAAAAGTCTTGTTTTACTTACACACACACACACAGAGGAATTAAATTTCAAGTAAATTAGCAATAAGAGAAGTCACAGATACATAAGATAACTTCAGAACATCTGCAGACTCTAGACATCCATACTGGCAAGATCAGAGAAATGCTAGTTTAAAATGTAAGAAACTTGAACATGAATAACTTTCCACACTTATTTGTATCACAGCAATTTCAATTATAGACATTTTGTTAAATCATCTTCTCTAATTTCCTGCAATGGAAGACAATATTTAGGTACTCCACCAAAGTGAGTAATGACATTTTCTGAGGGCTAAGATAAAAGTAGTCTAAAAAAGAAAACTTTTTCAAAACTGGGGCAGATCATTCAAGTCCCTTTCAGAAATACCTGTCTCTTCCTGAATGATGCCCACTCTGATGACCCTTACCCCTCTCCCTGTACAACCCCCATCTATCCTATTCTACTTGGATAATTCAGAGAGAAGAAAGAGTTTCTTTCCAAATATTAAGGTCCAGGGAACTTATGGCTTTTGCTCTTACTCAAATAAAATCAACAAGAAAGTCAGTGACACCTAACTCAGTAGACTTACCATGCAATTACATATGATCATCTGAACAACAGGCATTTTTTCATCCATTTAGTTTTTTCTGTGTGGATTATTAGGCAAGTCTATTTTGAATAAATATGAATCACATTGAAAAAAAAACAGAGAAAATCAGTTGACCTGAGTCCCCAACTCCCCTAATATTCTCCAAATTATTTATCTTTTTTCAACCCAAGACTTCTTGCCATCTAGAAGACAGAATTTTATGCTGTATCTCCTTATTTTGATGAGTATGGAGAGAAAAAGTTTAGAAATCCTTTCTCACTTGGCACAGTCTAAAGCAGGCCTGCACAACCTGAGGCATGCCAAAGGATTTCAGGCGGCCGTGAAAAATATACAGGAAAACATCTTTTTTATGTAGAGGAAATCCTTCGGCATGCCACCAAGTGGCCTATGGGTCACAGGTCGTGCAAGCTTGATCTAGAGCCTCCTAATTGGGCCTGTGTCAACAGGGCTGCTCAGGCCAAAGTCTGGAGAATAGAATTCTTTCCTGGCCAATGTAAAATATCACTTACGCTTTACTATTTCTACCAGTTATGTGATCATCCTCAGGCTATTATTTCAACAATTCAAAAATCATGTAACAAGTACGCTACTACACTGCATGTTGTAGTGTCTTGTATACTAAGGAAGCCACTGAGATGAACAAGGCTTCTGTCTCATGAGGAGAGATAGCAAAAGGTGTGTGCATAAATGTCTATGGAACAAAAGAGAATGTGATATTTTCATAACACAACAAACAGAAGTGCCATGAGAATTAGGGAGACATTAATACTGGTTATGAGAGAAAGCTTCATGGAGGAGGTGACAGTTAAGCTAAGGCTTGAAGGATGGACTGGATTTCAATAGGGGAAGGCACATATGTGTGTATATATATGGTAAGGGAAAAGGGGAGATGGAGTTTGGAGGAGGATGGGGAAAGTGTGAGACAACTGAGGTGGAGAACATAATAGTCAATTAGAGTTGAATTAAAGAATTGCTGGGTGGATGAGAATCTAGCTGAGAGTACAACATATGACTTTAATAGTAAACCCTCTTCATGTGGTTTCATGATTTCCTCCTGCCATGTTCAGAGAGCCAAAAGCTATAGTGCAAAAAGCAAATAAGTTTTGTGAAGGGTGGGGTAATGATTACTAAGACAAGTACAGAAAAAAGGGCAAGGAGTAGAGAAAGTTCTAAGCATGAGACATGAGTATTTCTCTCTTGTATTTAATAACCTATAAGGACCAAGGTTTTTACCCCTTTCTACTTCCTCATCCAGAAACAAACCAGTGTATGAAATCTCGCTTAAAGATTTATCTGGGCCAAGATCTAATAAGACAGTAAAAGAAATTCTACGTTTGGGATAATAGATGCATTCCTGCTCAATTGTGTTTGCACAGATAGGCCTGGGAAGTGTTGATTCTCCCTTTTGTCAGACAGGTGATACAGAAATCGATAAATCTTCTTGACCAAGATTTGGATGATCCAAGCCACATACCCCGAGACCCTCACTGTAATATGCATTTTCTTACTATTTCTTGACCAATCAGAGTTGATTTCCACCCCTCAGGAACACTTACTCTTTGAAGGGCATATAAACTGTCAACCCACTCTTATGAGGGTGTCTTGGGTCTAAAAGAGAGAGCCAAATGACCATCCTTGTGTTAAAATGCTGGAACTATTAATAAAATGATTAAATTACCCAGAAACTGTGTCTCTCAAACTTTCTGACTGTCACCTAAGGTAATACAGAGGATGTTGAAGTTACTGACTATGGGAGAGAGAAGCAAGTGAAGTCAGAATGGTGAAAAAGAACTGGGGGAGGACAAAGGAAAGGTTCAATGGGAAGGAGAAACTGAGAGTTAGATAAGAAACTGTCAGAGAGGGGAATTTCAGAGTTGGGGCTATACACACATGCATGCAAACATACATACATTATTCATAGCTCCAATAATAATTGCGTAGGTCTAGAGTGTGGCAATGGCACATTGATAGTTAAAGTGGAGTAAAAATGGAGATCATTAGACACAGAAGTTGTTAAAGAAATAGTTAAGTCAGAGGGTAAGAAAATGTGTGTGTGTGTGTGTGTATGTGTGTGATATATATGTTACACAAGTGATATATATTTATAAAGACTTTTACATGTATACAAATATATTAATTTATATTAGGTATATCTTATATAATTATACTGTACAATTATATGGGTATATAGGTATATAATTATAGAGAAAATCTCTTCTACCCCTTACTATCCATCTCCAGCAATATGTATGTGTGCATACATCTCTCTCTATGTATGTAGATACCTAGATAGACAGGCAGATAAAACAAAAAGGCTATAACTCAACAACTAAACTAACTGAAGAAGTTAGAGAAATATTTAGAAAGTAGGTGGCTGACAGTAACAAAGATGAAGAGAGGGTGATAAAATCAGCATGAATTTCAAAGGAAAGGAAGTTGCTAAATGAGAATGACAGAACAATTGCTCAGAAGTGACAGTGAGAAGCAAGGACAGTGTAAAGGCCTCTCAATCCATTCACATGAGGAAGGCTAAATAGGAGCTCATGCCATATAAGAATTGGTTTAAAAAAACCAGAGGTATGTATTCTAGAGAATTTAATACTCGGGAATTTAATGCCTGTCTTGAAATATCTAAAGGACTGTTATATTTGGCCAGAAAAAGCTGAACCAGCAACAATAGAAGGAAGTTGCAATGAGGAAAATTTAGGGCAGATTTCAGGGGGGAAAAAACCTTCCTAACAATTACAGAAATCCATAAACGGGATGGGCTGCCCAGGAAAATCACAGGATCACAGATTTACAAAGAAGGAAGGAAGGGAGACAAGGGAAAGGAGAGAAGAACGAAGAAAGGAAGAGGAGAAAGAAAAGGAGGAAGGAAGGAAGGAAGGAAGGAAGGAAGGAAGGAAGGAAGGAAGGAAGGAAGGAAGGAAGGAAGGAAGGAAGGAAGGAAGGAAGGAAGGAAGGAAGGAAGGAAGGAAAAAAGAAATGAAATGAGAGAAAGAGAGAAAGTTGTGAAGCGATCTGCCCAAGGGTCACACAGGCTGTAAGGGATAGAGCCAGAATCCTGGATTATCTGACTGCAAAGCCAGCACTCAAGCACTCTTTCCATAGTACCAAGCTGTCTCTTAGGTAATGGGTTCTTCCTCACTGCAGGTCTTCCAAGTAGAGTATGGTTGACTATTTGTCCAAAATGCTAAGTAGGGATTCTTTTAAAAAAAATTTACTTTTTAAAGTTTTGAGTTCCAAATTCTCTCCTTCCTTTCAGCCTTTCACCCAACAACTGAGAAGGCAAGCAATATGATACTTATTACACATGTGAAATCATACAAAACATACTTACATATCAGGCATATTGCAAAAAAAAGGCAGGGGAAAAAAAGTGAAAAATATGCTTCAATCTGTACTCAACATTTGACAATCTTATCTCTCAATGTGAATAGCATTTTTATCATGAGTCCTTTCAAATTGTTATGGATCATTATATTGATCAGAGTAATTAAGCCATTCACAGTTATCTTTACCATATTACTATAACTGTGTACAGTGTTCTCCTGATACTGCTCATTTCACTTTGCATCAATTCATATAAGTCTTCTTAGGTTTTTCTGAAACCATCTCATACATCATTTCTTATAACACAATAGTATTCCATCACAATCATACCTAATTTGTTCAGTTATTCCCCAACTGACGAGCATCCAAGAGGGGTTACTTTTGTGAATATGCATGGGACCAGATGCTTCTGAGGTCCCTTCCTAACTTTTAAAATTCTGTAATTCTGTGAGAACTGAATGATAATAAAAAAAACTTTATTTACTTCCCTGTATGATATCAGAAGGCAGCTAGGTTGCTCAGTGGATAGAGTACGGGAACTGGAGTCAGGAAGACCTGAGTTCAAATCTGACCTCAGAGACTCACCAGCTGTGTGAGTCTGGGCAAGTCATTTAACCTCTGTTTGCCTTAATCCACTGCAGAAGGAAATGGCAAACCACTCCAGTATCTTTGCCAAGAAAACCTCATACAGGATCATGAAGAGCTGGACAGGACTGAACAATGACAATAACAACAACATTAAGTTGTAAGCCATCTGTAACTGGACATGTTAGTCATAAATATCCAGGGGTTATTGTTTCCCTACTTTTACCACACAAGTTG